TTACAGATAGCGAAGATCCTGTATTGACATGTCCACCTGACACCAGCTTATCAACTGATGGAGGAATGTCGACAGCTACTGTCACATATAATGCTTCGGATGTTACAGTAACTGACAACTCAGGGGAAACTCTTGTTCCAACTACTACAACATCATTTCCAGCTCAATTTGTGATAGGACCAAATAATATAACGTATACAGCCACTGATTCCTCAGGAAATACCGGTAGTTGCATGTTTACAGTAACGGTTACAGGTTAGTTATATTTCCTTATGGATACTTAGACTTTATATAAAATTATGCTTAAGCAAAAATACTCTACAAGTGATACTTTATAGGCTTTTCAACAAACAATTATGTATTATTAAAATCTAATGTACATTTCAGATAGCGAAGATCCTGTATTGACATGTCCACCTGACACCAGCTTATCAACTGACGGAGGAATGTCGAGAGCTACTGTCACATATAATGTTTCAGATGTTACAGTAAATGACAACTCAGAGGAAACTCTTGTTCCAACTACCACAACATCATTTCCAGCTCAATTTGTGATAGGACCAAATAATATAACGTATACAGCCACTGATTCCTCTGGAAATACCGGTAGTTGCATGTTTACAGTAACGGTTACAGGTTAGTTATATTTCCTTATGGATACTTAGACTTACTCTATATAAAATTATTCTTAAGCAAAAATACAAGTGATACTTTTTAGGCTTTTCAACAAATAGTTATGTATTATTAAAATCTAATGTCCTTTACAGATAACGAAGATCCTGTATTGACATGTCCACCTGACACCAGCTTATCAACTGACGGAGGAATGTCGACAGCTACTGTCGCATATAATTCTTCGGATGTTTCAGTAACTGACAACTCAGAGGAAAGTCTTGTTCCAACTACCACAACATCATTTCCAGCTCAATTTGTGATAGGACCAAATAATATAACGTACACAGCCACCGATTCTTCTGGAAATTCCGGTAGTTGCACATTTACAGTAATGGTTACAGGTTAGTTACATTTCTTTATGTATACATAGACTTACTCCGTATGAAATTATGCTTCAGGAAAAATAATATGCAAGTGATACTTTGTATGCTTTTCAACAAACAATTATGTAAATCTAATGTACTTTGCAGATAGCGAAAATCCTGTATTGACATGTCCACCTGACAGCAGCTTATCAACTGACGGAGGAATGTCGACAGCTACTGTCACATATAATGCTTCGGATGTTACAGTAACTGACAACTCAGAGGAAACTCTTGTTCCAACTACCACAACATCATTTCCAGCTCAATTTGTGATAGGACCAAATAATATAACGTATACAGCCACTGATTCCTCAGGAAATACCGGTAGTTGCACGTTTACAGTAATGGTTGAAGGTTAGTTATATTTTGTTATCTATACATGGACTTACTCCATATAAACTTATGCTTAAGCAAAAATAATCTACAAGTTTTACTTTGTAGGCTTTCCAACAAACAATTATGTATTATTAAAATCTAATGTCCTTTACAGATAGCGAAGATCCTGTATTGACATGTCCACCTGACACCAGCTTATCAACTGACGGAGGAATGTCGACAGCTACTGTCACATATAATGCTTCGGATGTTTCAGTAACTGACAACTCAGAGGAAAGTCTTGTTCCAACTACCACAACATCATTTCCAGCTCAATTTGT